TTTCCTGCCTAGAGAGCAGCTACGACCCTGGATGAGAAGATTGAGAAAGTGAGACAGAAAAGGAAATCCCAGGTTCGGGCCCTTCTGTCGTTACTGGAAACAGGGGGGTGGGTCTGGCCTTGCGCTGCGGCCCCTCCAGACAGGCTCCAAACGTGCTGCTGCGCCGCCGGGGATGCAGCATTGTTGGTGCCGAAGGTCATGTAAAACCGTCTCTGTGAATGGGTTCCCAGTCACCACAACACAGGCTCACAAAGGACTCGGGTTTCGTTTATCCTGTCTTTATAAAGCTTTTTTTTAAATCTTTTTCTAGGAAAGAGAAGCTAAACGAGCCAAAGCGGGAGATGAAGATGCGGAGACTGAGGATAATCAAGCCAGAAAAAGGGAGTGTGAGGATTTCAGTAGGGAAGAAGAAGAAGATGGGGCGTCTGAGTACTCCTTGGATGATGAAACGCTCCTCACAAAAGCAGGTATCAGCAGTGCGCAGGCGGTCGGGGCCGGACTCCAACAGGCCGTTCCCTCACAGTACAGCTGTGCTGGCAGTGGGCAAGAACCTCTTATTTTTTGTCGGTTTCCTTCTGGTTCTGGTTGCGCTTATTTTGAGTGGTCACCGTAGGCCTTTAAGAGAACTTGCACCTGAGGAAGGCTGTTTGCTTGGCATTTTACGACATCATGTGCCTGTACTTGTGCTCCCTCAGTAACTCGTTCAGGGCTGAAGGTAGGGGATGAAGGCGGGCATTGCTTCTCGTGTGTTTAGCTGTGCTTACTCGCTCCTGCCACGTGTCTTTCTCTGCAGATACGGTCAGAGTGAAGGGACCGAGGAGACCGAAAAAAGGAGAACTGGTAAGTGTTAGACAGAACGACACTAGATCATTCTCCAGCGTTTCCTCTGGAGCAATTTGACTTCATTAACAAACTGTAGCTCAAAAATCAGCCGAGAGCCCGTCGATAACGTGCATTGGTGCCGGTGTTGTTCCGTTGTTGTTGTTTCTAGGAAGCAGAGAGCTTTTTTGAAGACGCCTCTCACTATGATGATAACTTGTCATTCCAGGACATGAATCTTTCACGACCTTTGCTGAAGGTATTTACCTGCTTTAGTTATTGCAGAGGTTGCTCTGAAGAGTGCTGTACAGCCTCCCCGCCGCCGCCACTCAGAATTGTCAAATTCCCATTCTCTTTGCAGCCTCTCTTAAAAGAAAATTATGTGGGGGGTAGCGTGCTAATCCTTTAGGAGCTGCTATTCCCAAATAATGGAAACCATTCTTTGATTTGCAATTTGTCAACACCATCTCGAGTGAGACTTGTGAGAGCAGGACAGACCGGCTGAGGCTGGAAGGGGAGGCTGGAGGTCATCTCATCCGACCCCCTGCTTAGGCAGGACCACCTAGAGCGGGTTGTGCAGGAGCACATCCAGGCCGCTCTTGAGGATCTCCGGGGATGGAGACTCTGACCTCTCTGGGCAGCCTGTGCCAGCGCTCAGTCACCCCCAGTGAAAAGTGTTTCCTGTGTTCAGAGGGAACGTCCTGTGTTTCAGGTTGTTCTGTTGCCTCCGGTCCCGTCTCTGGGCACCACTGGAAAGAGCCCGGCTTTGTCCTCTTTCCACCCTCCCTTCATGTATTTAGATACGTGGATAAGCTCCTCCCCGGGCGTTCTCGGGGCTGAACGGTCCCAGCTCGGTCAGCCTTCCCTCGTGCGTGCGGTGCTCCTTCCGGCGCCCCCCGTGCCTCTCCAGCGGGTCCGTGTCTCGTCGTGGGGAGCCCAGCACTGGGCACTCCGGGGGTGGCCTCACCAGGGCAGAGTTCAATCGCTCCATCTCCTTTGCAGGCAATCACAGCTCTTGGCTTCAAGCAACCAACCCCCATTCAGAAGGCTTGTATCCCGGTGGGTCTTCTGGGGAAGGATATTTGTGCCTGCGCTGCCACTGGGACAGGTAGGGGGTTGGGCAGGGCGCAGGCAACGTGACAAAAGAGCCACTCGCAATAAGGGGTCATTCTTGGTATTTGTTTTTCGTTTTCTTCAGGTAAAACAGCTGCCTTCATCCTGCCTGTCCTCGAGCGCCTGATTTACAAACCTCGTCAGGCTCCAGTAACACGGGTGTTGGTTCTAGTGCCAACACGAGAACTGGGCATTCAGGTGCACGCTGTCACCAAACAGCTGGCGCAGTTCAGCACTGTCACGACTTGCCTTGCTGTGGGTGAGTAGGGAGTTGCTTATGCGAACTGTACAGCTCACTGACCAGCTGGGAACTGGTTATGAACTGGGAACTGCGGGTTGTGAGCTGGATTGTCGCTGTAAACAGCTGGAACTGCGGGTTGTGAGCTGGAGGCCGTATGGTTGCTGCTCCTAGGAGGTTGCTACTTTCCAGTACCATGCTGTGCTTATTTTTGGTTTGGGAGAAAGAAAAGGTGGGACCAGTAATTACAGATCTGGCATCAATCCGGGTTGTTTCCCGTTCCTGGGGTGATTTGGATCTGTGCACTCTGCTGGAACTGGCTCAGGGAGTCAGCTGGCCCCGCTTGCTCTCTTTCAGGTGGCCTAGATGTGAAGACCCAGGAGGCAGCTCTGCGCTCTGGGCCTGACGTTCTGATCGCCACACCTGGGCGGCTCATCGACCATCTCCACAACTGCCCTTCTTTCCACCTGAGCAGTGTGGAGGTGCTGATTTTGGATGAAGCAGACAGGTAGGCTGCAGAACAGCAGCAAAAACCAAGATGGTCGTTCCCTGCTTCCCTCTTCCCAGGCCGTGGGGCCCACTTGCCCTGCCTTAAGGAGCATTTCCTAGCATCACCTTACGTGGCTGCTTTGCTCCTGTGTAGGATGCTGGATGAGTACTTTGAGGAACAGATGAAGGAGATAATCAGGTTGTGTTCCAACCACCGCCAGACAATGCTGTTCTCTGCCACCATGACCGAGGAGGTAAGGCAGGCTGCGGGGAAGCACGCTGAGGCAGAAGGTTGACCAGGAGTTTGTCTACTCTTTGGCCAGAGCCAGTGTGGAGTTTTTTCTCTTACCCTGTTTTGGTAGGTGAAAGATTTGGCTTCTGTTTCCCTGAAAAATCCCACCCGCATTTTTGTGAACAGCAACACGGATGTTGCCCCTTTCCTGCGGCAGGAGTTTATCCGGATCAGACCCAACAGAGAGGGGGACCGGGAGGCCATTGTAGCAGGTTAGAGACGAGTAAAGACAAGCTGGAATCAGCAGGTGGCCGTGAAGCAGGCTCCTGACAGCACTTTCTTTCAGCCCTGCTGACGCGAACCTTCCCAGACCACGTGATGCTCTTCACCCAGACCAAGAAGCAGGCTCATCGGATGCACATCCTGCTTGGGCTGATGGGTCTGCGCGTTGGGGAGCTTCACGGGAACCTCTCTCAGGCACAGCGGCTGGAAGCGCTCAGGTATGACAGGCTTCGTTGGTAGTCACAGACAAAACAGAGGGTAGGAGGTGGAAGTGTTAGGGCAGAAGGGGTTTGCTGCCTGCGTTGCTGATGCATTGCTGTCTCTGCTCAGGCGCTTTAAGGATGAGCAGATTGATGTTCTGGTAGCTACAGACGTGGCTGCACGTGGACTCGATATTGAAGGCGTTAAAACGGTGAGTATTTGTAGTGCAGAGCTCTCTCACGAGCCCTGCGCTGCTGTTCCCCTGCTAACGCTGTTGGTGTGGTAGGTGATCAACTTCACCATGCCCAACACCACCAAACACTACGTCCACCGTGTGGGGCGGACAGCAAGAGCAGGCAGGGCTGGGCGCTCGGTTTCGCTTGTGGGGGAGGAAGAGCGCAAGATGCTGAAGGATATCGTGAAGAGTGCCAAGACACCCGTGAAAGCCAGAGTTCTCCCCCAAGGTATGCGCCTCGCTGGGGTGAAAAGCAGGAGGGCAGCAGGCAGGGAATGTCGTGGCACGGAGGGAGACTGCAGGGTGCTGGAGAGCAAGGCAGGCTTTACGTGAGCTGCTTCTGGCGGTCCCACTCGTTTCCAGATGTCGTACTGAGATTTCGAGAGAAGATCGAGAATCTGGAGAAAGACGTGTACGCGGTTCTGTGCTTGGAGCGTGAGGAGCGTGAGATGCAGCAGTCAGAGGCTCAGGTAAGGGTTTTTTAACCTTAGCTTTTAGGATCTGGAGTAGATAAGTGCACAGGGCAGTTACCCTAATGTACTTCACCTGCCTACTTTAGAAAGGGAAGAGAGGCGTCTTTAGCCACCATGAGCTCACTTCTTGTCTGAATTATCTCAGATCAACAGGGCGAAGAAGCAGCTGGAGACAGGAAAACAGGAGACTGGGGGTGAGGGTTTGGAGCGGAGCTGGTTCCAGACCCGTGAGGAGAGGAAGAAAGAGAAATGTGAGTCATGACATTGGTGCCGTGGTGAATCCCATCCTGCCAGGGTCAAGTCCATCGCTGCAGCTGGACTTGACAGGACTCTCTGTCTCCCCAGTGGCTAAAGCCCTGCAGGAGTTTGACCTTGCGTTACGGGGCAAGAAGAAAAGGAAGAAGTTTATGCAGGAGAGACAGAAAAACGCCCAGATGACGGTGAGTAGAGCTGTGGGCACACGGGAGCCTGGGTGGGCTGTCTGGCCTTTCCTTAGCAAAACCATCACCTGCATTTTAACCCCTTCCAGCCAGAGGAGAGGTCACAGTTTGAAATCCTGAAGTCTCAAATGTACGCCGAGCGGCTGGCAAAAAGGAATCGCCGAGCAAAGCGAGCCAGAGCCGTGCCGGAAGAGGAACCAGCAGCGGTGCCAGCAGGTGGAGACCAGTGCTACCTTTGCGCTGCAGAGCGAGCGGTGTCCGGGGAAGGAGTGGCTGGCTGGGCTGGCCAGCACCGAGCCAGCGCCACTTTTCCCAGCAGCCAGGCTACTTGTGGGCAAGGCTCCGGGGCTGCTGAGCAAGATGACGCTGCGGTCTTCTCTCACAGCCTGTGACTCTCGTCTCTCTGTTTAGGCCCCAGGCGGAAGAAAAAGCTGTCAGTGTTTGACGAGGAGCTTACCAACACAAGCAGGAAGGCGCTGAAGCAGTACCGTGCCGGGTAAGGACGTGTCAGGGCAGCGTGCCTGCAGGGGTGTCCTTTTGTGTATCTCCGGGCTTTCCCAGGGATCTTTGACCGATACTGGGGGAAAGGGCGGGCAGGGAAGGGATTCTTGCAGAAAGTACCTGCAGCAGGTTTTGTCTAACCTCCCCCCTTCCCCTCTCTCAAAAAGCCCATCATTTGAAGATCGAAAACGCTTGGGTATGGCCCAGCACAGGAAGGGAGGAAACTTCAAATCCAAGTCCAGGTAGAGCTCCCTTTACTTTCTCATTCAAGTGTGTGTTTGGGGTTTTTCCTGCTTTCTCTTTCCTCCTGTGGTCGTTTAAAGGCTCCTGCTAAAAGGTTTGTGGTTCTGCAGTGGCTTACCCCCCGCAGCTCTGACGCTGGGGCGAGCAGGGATGCTGCCTTTAACTGCACGTTCCTAGGCCTCTGCGGGGGAAGGTGCTGTCTGGAACACGTGCGGTGCCGTCCTTCCCCATCACCGAGCTGGGCTGGCGGAATGTCATCTCGTGTATCTGCTCCCTCAGGTACAAGAGGAAGTAAGAACCGTTGGTCATCCCCAAACTAAGGACAATGCCGATATTCCAGGCGTGCTCTCTCCAGGGCCTGGATTTCCTCGTGCTGCACGGAACCAGCTTCAGTAGCCTTGAACAGTTTCTCTTCAAGTTTGGGAAGAGCCGTCGGCTGGTTGTCAACAGGCGGCTGCAGACCCTTTGCAAAAGCACCCGGCAATAAAGGGTGGGTTTCTTTGCCTACAGTGTTTGCTGGTTTATAGGTCAGAGCAGCCACGGGCTGGGGTCTGCTCCATCTTCTGTCACATGTCATGTAGCACAATCCCAGAACCGTTTGGGCTAAAGGACCCCCCCAGCCCCACCCCCTGCCACAGGCAGGGACACCTTCCACAGCCCAGGGAGCTCCACCTCCAGCCTGGCCTTGGCCTCTCCCAGGGATGGGGCATCCACAGCTTCTCTGGGAACCTGTCCCAGTGCTCCCCACCCTCTGCGGGAAGAATTCCTTCCCGATATCTAATCTAAACCTCCCTCTTTCCATTTAAACCCATCACCCCTTGTCCTGTCACTCCCTGCCCTTGGGAAAAGCCCCCCCAGCTTTCTTGTAGCCCCCCAGGCACTGGAAGGGGCTCTGAGGTCTCCCGGGAGCTTCCCTTCTCCGGGCTGGACACCCCGACTCCCAGCCCATCACACAGTTGTCTTTGGGGCAGATGCTGGGGAGTGCTTCTCGCTCTGTTCGTGTATTTGTGATCCCGGTTAACATGCAGAAGGATTTCCATGGCTGAGACTTTACAAAAGAGGGGGAGAGTGTTTCCAGGTGCCTGTCACCGAGGTGCCGTCAGAGGTAACAGCCACAGGAGTTAATCTCCAAAGGCTGCTGCTCTCGGAAGAAAGGATTCTGTCCACGGGGGTGGGGGCAGCCTGCTTTCCCCTAACGGAAAGGGGGCAGCTGTGCGCTGAGCAGCAAGGGAAGGCCCCAGCAGTGCAGGGTGAAGCGTGGGGTCGGGATAGATTGGCTCCTCCTGGTTTTTTTTGGACTAGAAGCCATGTGACTCCACCTGTAAAGGTCCAGCAGGTTTCTTGCAGGCTGCACTATCCCAACCCTGGCACCACCGTGCTTGTTCCATGGGGCATAAAGGGCAGAACGGGCAGCAGCAGCCCGTGCTGAGTGTCACGCACACGCTGAGACTTCACTGTCTCTGCCATCCCAACGTTCCCCCACCCGCCTGGCTGAGCCCCACTGACACCAGGTTCCGCTAAGGAACAGAGACCAGCGGAGATCCCAGCGGCGCGGCCCAGCCGTTACATCCGCAGCGCTATCAGCAGAACCAGCTCGTCGCTTCACGCCCACCCCGGGGTGACCGAGGAGCAGCCTCGAGACAGCAGCGGCGCCCCCGAACAGCCCAGAGCAACAGCGACTCCAAGTACCGGGGTTCCTGCTTTATTAAAAAGGGCAAACTTGGGGAGCAGTAAATACAAAACACGGAAGTTCCGGCACGTGGTGCTGCTTGGTGACCCCCTTAACCAGCCTTCCCGCTTCCAGGGTACCTTGGAGGGCGTCTTAGGGCCTTGGTGGGCGCATGCCGGGTGGAGGGGGTCCTGCGAATACAGGGAGGAGTCGGACAGTGAGGAAGAAAGAGGAAGCAAGGCTCAACAGACCAGAAGGACACGTTTGCCATGCTGGAAGTGGCCTTCAGACCCTTTCTTGGCATTGAGGCATCTGCTGACAACTGGCGTAGCCGGGGCGCACTGAAACCCCTCGTCCTTCACACAGCTTGGTTGTCCCTCGGGTTCCTACAGCTTCCAGGCATTTAAGATAACCACTCACCTCTCATTCCTGGGGGTGGCGGTCTCATGCCTGGTGGGGGCATTCCCATAGGGGCACCTCGGCCTGGTGGCATTCCCATGGGCGGGCCCATGGGTGGTCTCATGCCTGGAGGAGGTCCCATCATTCCTTAAGGCAGAGAAAGAACAGGCCTATGAATCCAGGCACTAGTTGGCTGCTGGGATAATCCTAACACCAGATCTCCTTCAGACTCCGCTGAAGACCTCCGTGTCACCAGCTCTGCCCCACACTGTAAGCTCCTCCCGCCCCACTCTACAGAGTAATTCCTACCTGGAGGAGGTGCTCCTCTGCTCATGGGTGGGGGGGGACCCCCACGCCCCGGTGTGTACTGCGTTGGGGCTCCTGCTATGCTGGCAGTGGCTGGGGGAACCGTTCCGCGACCCTGAGGAGTCATCACCTGTCAACAAAACCAACCGGTTGGCAAGGAAACAGCTCGTCTGCCTACCTTAACAACAATAAGCAAAGTGTAAGTGATCATCCCTTCAGAACATGACACCGGTCTTGACGTAGTAACTAATGCTACAAAGCCGTAATGCAGTGGACACCGCGTGAATGCCATGCAGGAACCTGCACTTTGCAAGCCGCCTCCACCACAGAAGGCAGAGTTCCCAGGAGCATCCAGTACCAAAAGAGCCTCACTAGGCTCAAACTCCCTGCTATCAGAAACTGAGATCACAGCTCCTCCACCTGCATCACGCTGGTACCAAGAATTCTCAGCCCCCCCAGAACACAGCAGCCAACTCCCATCTAGCGGGTCACAGCATCTCACCTGCTGGGATGGTCCTCCCACTCCTCTGACGGGGCCAGCCAGTCCTGCCGGAGCCTGCGGCATGGGTGCTCCAGCTGGTACTCCCCTCCCTGCTGCTCTCCCAACGCCAGGTCCTCCAGCAGCTCCAGCAAGAGGTACCCTGGCAATTCCAGTCTGCAAACAGACCCGCCCCACAGCAGGGTTTATCAGAACGGGAGTCCCGAGACCCTGGGGGCAAGCACAGCTCTTCTTTGTGCAGTCAGTGCCCGACCCACGAAGGGACCGGACCTTCCTGCAGGGAAAGCTGCGGACCCAGCCCCAGCAGCGGCAGAAGCCCAGGACAATGCCGCAGCAGCATCCCCCGCAGGGACACCCCTTCCCTTTCTCCTTACATCTTTTGGAGGTGGGCCTTCGACCGTCATGGACACCAAGTTTTCTCCTCGTAGCAACACAAGACCAAGGACTCGCTTCTCCTCCCGCTCTGGCTGTTTTGAATTTTTAGGTCTAGTGAGAAGAGAAAGAAAACATTGCAAGAGAGAGGGGGGAAAAAATCAATGCTGCTCTTGGAACCTGCGACGGAATCTGTGATGAGGCTACTCCGGGGGGA